GCTTTCTCACTTTGTAAATGAGGACATTAACGCTTCTTTTTCACCCCCAGAGTGTCACCTCCTGACTTTTCTTGTGTGGTTGCAGCTTCTGTTTCTCTTAGATCGCAGCCTCCCTCCATCTCCTGTCCCTCAGTTATACCTCTCCTCCCAGAGCTGTCTTTTGACATTTGTTGAGGCTTGCTCTCCTGGTGGTCTGATTCCATTTCTCATTGGCAGCAGTGTGAGCAGAGGGAAACGTGAGTTCCTAGTCCTCTGGCTGGGTGGTGAACCACAAGGGATACAATTTATAGGTTTATTGGAAGAGTTCTGTGAGTTATCATGGGTATAAACATTAGACAAAGACTAGTGCAGAGTTGATGTCCCGCAGGTGTTTTGTCACTGATGTATTACACCTCTCAGTGGCCTTATTCTCAGGGCATTAGCTCTCGATGCCCTTTTTCCTTCTTCAAACAAGAGGGCCCGGGAAATTTCTTCAGTTGCAGGTCCATTTGATGCCTTTGATTTTAACAGACACTGTTGAGTGTTGGAAAGTTTGATTGCGATGTTTTTCTCTCAGAGAAAATTCTTGAAGAATCCTTCATTTTAGATTCTCCTTATATATCCCCTTCATGCATATCTATCTGCTAAAGAACCTGGTGAGATGAAGAATCCTTCACAAGTAAGGAGGGTAGGGCTTTGGGAAGCCACAGGGACATCAGTACATTTACCAGGAACTTGATCACAGGGTACAACACATCATAGGTACATAGGAAAAAGAACATTCCTTTACAATAACATTTATGTGAGTGAGTATTTTGTATGTTTAAAAGAGTAGAACACAGTTATTTGGATCAGAATGCTCCAGCATTGTGCAAATTGGCCACCGCACCTAGCCTTTGTGGTTGTTCCTCTGCTTTAAGATGGGAGTCACAGTTGACCTCATCTCCTGGACTTGTGTGATCTCTTAAGGAGGTGGGAGTCAGAGTCCTGCTTTTCACAGACACTCAAGAAACATCAGCCATTGCCAGGAGTTCACACAGTGCTCCCACCCCCAAGTGACTGCCAGAACATTCCTCCCATTCTTTCTTCTGTGCATATCTTTCTACATTTCCGGTCCTCATCCCATTTCCTTCTCCTCGGACCCTATCAGCACAAGAGGCCTCGTGACTGTGCTGGGATGAGGGCAGAGCAGCTGGAGCAAGATGGCTCACTTTCTTTCCGCAGCAGCTGCAGAGCCCAGGGAAGAGGAACACTGTGGGTTGAGTCTGGCCAGGCCTCTACTGCACCATGGAGGGATGGGCAGGAGACCTGGCCCCCCTGACTGCTGCTGGGCTGCAGCTGCCTCTCATCACATCCCTCCATGTGCTCTCTCCCTGCAGCCTGGACGCCACATCTGAGTTTCAAGAAAAACCTCTCAGAGACACCACTGCTGGCACCATGGACACAGAAACCCGTGAGGAGTTGTCAGGTAGACATGGTTGGCTTTTCTAGCTAGTTCCTGCCCGTGGCCTAGATCTGCACCTGGGAACGGCCCAGGTGCTCACTTTATCCATATCCTGCCTCCTTTTGTGGGCCCAGTATAACCTCAGAAAAGTGAGGGCAGAAGGAGAGGGTATGTTGGGGGAAGGGGGAGAAGAGAAGGTGTGGGAGGAGAGTGGAAAGGATGTCCACAGCACCTCCCCCTGCTCTGGGTTGACCATGGGCTAGTATCCATGAGAAGGCTCTTCTTACCAACTTAGTGCTGGTCTGCTCTGAGTGGTTCAGCAGGAAGAGTGACGCACGATGCCACTGACTGGATGCCACTGTGACCTTTGCCACCACCCATGTGTTTGACCCAGAGCTCTGTACCTCAGCTGTGTCAAGAGAACGGTTTCCCCATGTTGCTCTGAGGATCAGACGTGACATATCTAGGTGGCTCACACAGGTGCCTGCCATATCATAGGTCCTCCTACTGTTGGTTCTCCCCCTCTACTGCACCCCACTGTTTAGTCCAGGTAGCAACTTCCCTCATCCACACCATAGCTGTGCAGGGCAACTGCCCTGCCCTGCCCATGAGAAGCACCTGCTCACAGGTGTGGCTGCCTCAGGCAGGGACTAATTCTGATCATCTCATGGAAAGGAGGAGCCTGAAGGTGACACAAAAAGGAAACAGGCTCCACCAGAGACCACGCTCCCCCCACCCCGCTTACACCAGCCTCCCTGCAGTCCTGCTCTCTCAGGCCCTTTTCCTCCCCTTCCCCAATTGCCTTGGCATCAGAAAATTCTTCCCAGGAGCCAGTGCTGGAGAGAAAACTGTGTCTGGAGGAGGAGTCACATGAAGAACAAGGGGGAGAGGGGAAGATCGGACACCAGGAGCTCCCAACAGGCCCCAGGAGCTTCAGAAAGGGCTGGGCAGTGGATGGAAGGATAGACACCCTCTCCTTTGATAAACAGGCCAGCCTGAATTCAAGGACAACACTTAAGAGCCAGGTCCCCTGAAATATGGACAGGTCATAAGGCTGGAGTTGAAGGTCTGGGCCCCACCATTTCCACCCACCTGAAGATCCTCCTCCTCTGCCAGTTTCAGAGTATCCATCGTTAGCAGAAGGACTCCTCTCTTCATGATCATTTTATGATCCATAGTGTGCAGTTAGAGACATATTTTCAAATTTAAGTAAACTCTACAGGGGTATTTCAGAGTAGAATGCAGAAATCATAGGAATTAAAAAAAAAACACACCACGAGTTGAAAGTAATCAAAAATTTCCATTTGGCCTTGGGTTCAAATTCCGAGCTCTCTGCTTGCTGGTTTTATGCTGTCCCTTTTCCTGTCTGAGTGTCACTTTGCTCTGTGAAGTAAGAACTCTGCCTTTCTTGTGTCTACACAGCAGGAAGCACATTTCATACCTTGCCCAGTGTGCACATCAATGTGTACTGGCCCCCCACACCTGACCTGATAATCTGATATCTTCACATCTAAGCAAACTACACAATTTTGGGGTGACTCACGTGGACTGTACTCCTGACCTGAGACCATTTACAGTCAGTCTCACACTATCTCATTTAATGAGAATATTCACTTGTTTCACTGCTGAAACATGAATGCCTGGGGTCACTAGGATTGGAAAGTAATGCATCCACGTGCCCTGTTCCCTTCTAGAAAATTAAACATTCCATCTAACTGTATATTTCAAAATGGCTATGAGGGAGGATTTGGAATGTTTGGATCCAAAGTAATTCTAAATATTTGAGGTGATGACACACCAATTACTCTGAAGAAAACATGGCACCCTGTAAATATGTGTAATTACTGAGCCATTTAAAAATCAATACTGAAAATAATTTAAAAATATCTTTTAAAGATTAAAATTCTGAATTCCTAAACATATCTATGTCCAGGAAGTTTATATACATATATATGAATATATATAGTGATGTGATTCACAAAATAATACTCGCCCTTACTATGTTCAGTACACTCTTTCATTGTTAATTCTACTTCTTAAAAATGCTCCTCTTGACCCAATAACTAATGTCAGAACCTCAAGATGGATTGAAGTCACAGTCAAAGGTGCAGGTGCACAGTGATTGCCATGTAGCAGGCACATGGCAGACGGAAGCCATCCTTGGTATTTTCCCATTTCTTAGAGTTGGAAAGCTCACTTTCTGATTTCTCTGAGCTGAAAAAGATTCCAGGGATGGTGGGACTGGTTCTGGTGAGGGCTCTGTTCCTGATGTGCAGATGGGGCCTCCTCACTGTTTTCTGCAGATGGCCTCTACTCTGTGCATTGAGAGGGAGGGAGGGAGGGAGAAAGAGAGAGAGAGAGAGAGAGAGATCCAGTGTCCCTTGGTCTTATAAGGAGAGAAAGCCTTAGGATTAGGGCCCTACTCTATGAGCTCATTTCTTTTTTTTTGGTGGCAGATGTGCAGAACCATGATGTTTAATCCCCTTGAAGGTGATGCCATTTACAGTCTGTCACACTGACCTCTGACCTTCTTCATCCTTTCCACTAGGTGTCTCAGGCCTCATTAAGGACACCACTTTATTTCTCATGGATAAACTGATCCCAGAGGATGTGCAGTATCTGGCTACTGAAGATGAAGCATGGGAGGTGTTCCTGGCTGAGACTAATTTGTCCAGGTGACCTTCCTCTTCTTCCCCATTTCATCCTCCACCCGCAGCTTCCAGCCTGTTGTGTGGATTTTCCCTCCATCAGTGTGCGTCTCTTCCCTCAGTTCTCTGACCCAAATTCCAGTCATCTCTGGAAACCCCTCTGTGGCACACCCATAATGGTGCTTTATCAGTCTTCTGCATCTCTCAAGGCAGTCAAGTTGACCACCTGGATTAACCTTCACAGGACTTTAACCCATGTTGCTTCGGGGTGACTTGGAGTCTCCTTCCCCTCCCAGAGGTCAAGGCCTTTAGTGTCCAGTGCCTCTAGAAGTCAAAAATGATACCAAAGCTCCCATCCCACATCACATTGTTAAAGTTGAACATCCTTTATCAAAATGCTTGGGACCAGAATGTTTCAGATTCTGGAATTTTTTTTTTTTTTTTTTTTTGCGGGTACTGGGCTTGAACTCAGGTCCTTCACCTTGAGCCACTCCACCAGTCCTCTTTTTTGTGAAGAGTTTTTGAGATAGGGTCTTGTGAACTCTTTATTTGTCCAGGCTGGCTTCAAACAGAGATCTTCCTGATCTCTACCTCTTGTGTAGCTAGGATTATAGGTGTGAGCATTTGAAAAAAAATGTGCATTTGTAAAATCCTTTTCCATTTGATTTGTAGTACATGCTGTGTGATTACTGCAGGGTGGATCTTATGCAGCCCATTTTACAGATAAGCAAACTTCCTTTATCACTTGACCATTACTCTTACAGGGAAGAGGCTGATGAGCTGCGTCAAGCTCTGAAGAAGCTCACAGCAGTCATGGCTGTAGAGGAAAAAGAGAAGTTCCAGAAAGACCTGCAGGAGTGAAGAGGTTTTGGAATGAGCTTCCTCAGGTGAAAAGGGACATTGAGCAGCGCATAGGAAAGCTCTGTGCCCTCGCAGAGGAGGTTGACAAGATGCACAGGGGCTGCACCATCTCCAACATGGTGGCCGACTCCACTGGTGCTGCCTCTGGAGTCATGACCATTCTTGGTTTTGCTTTGGCACTAGTGACAGCAGGGAGCAATCTGGCACTCTCAGCAGCTGGGATGGGGCTAGGAGCAGTGTCTACTGTAAGTGATGTTACGACCCCACTTTTGGAGGAAACAAACACTTTGTCGGCCAAAGCTGAGACCTGCCGCCTGATATCAATCAGCATGGACACATTGAAGGAGTTGGCAGAGATTGTGGATAAGCTTGTACCCAAGTTGTATCTACAGCCAACCATTTAAAGGCGTACCTGAAAGACCTTGGACGTAAGGTCCATGCTTCAAAGAAACCAGAGTCAATCCTCACTTAGTACCTGAAGCTGGGTGCCTCATGAACACTGGGACAACCTCAGACAGAAGTGCTGAGCAGGTGCTTGGAGACACTGCACTGGAATGACCAGAGGAGCCCAGATCAGGGGTGGAGTCACTGAAGGTGTCTCCCATGGGATGGATGTTTACAGCCTTGTGGGAGAGTCAATGCATTTGTACCGGGAGGCAGAAGCTGAGTTGGCCAAAGAGCTGCGGCGGGTGGGTCAGGAGCTAGAGAAGAAGTTAGAGGAGCTTGTCCAGTTTGAGGGGACATTGCCATCAGACCCTATCCACTGACATGCTTCCTCCTCCCTGAGCAGTGTGCAGTTCAGAGGAGATGTGCTACACAGGGGAGTCCACTCATGGAGGGATTTTATTTAGGGGGGAAAAAAGAGGAGATTAAGTCTATGGAACTGAGTGTTAAGTAGTTGGAGATTTTTGTGGCTGAGCACAGCAAGGATGAAACAGATAGCAACTGGGTCAAAGAGAGGGCAGAGCTGAAATAAAGAACAAGAAGGAGAAAGAGTGTGGTAATGGGAAGAAACAGTATATTTTGGACTAAAGAACACAACGGGAGCATGAGCAACATGTAATGACAAGGTCTAAAAACTGATGAGGTGGAAGGGAAGAAAGCCAGAGTTAGTTGATGGAATTGGGAATTGGCTCTTCCACTGACCCCACCCCATGGTCTGATGTCCAGCAAGAATAAAGTCTTTCCCTGGTCTCTAGTCCTGTGCCTGCAGTGTCAACTGGCCCTTGTCTTGGTCAGGCAGTGACTTCTTGATTATGGTTGGTGATGATGATGTGGTGACATAGAATGGGGTGGAGCACAGAAAGTGTTCAGCCCTCTTCTGGCTGGGGTATACAGAGGGATCAATAAAATCCCAATGAAATTCCAAATGCTCTGTTGGAACAGTGATTGATATGAGAGGTGGTGAGTGACGCCAGATTCAAGGAACAGGTCAAGGAAGTTGTTGGTGTGTAGGCATTGACCAGCTTGGGGTCAAGAGATGCAGCCTCTCATAGCCTCAGTTTCCTCATCAGCTGGTCAAAAGAACATTGAACATTATCTGGTTCTTTCCATCTTGGTTCTGTAGGCTTTGGTTCAAAAAGTATTATGATGATTCCAGGGCAAAAGGGGTGTGAAAGAAGCCACTGCCACAGGCAGAAATGGCCAGTAACCAAATGAAGAGGCAGAAAGATCCAGGATTACACAGAGTTTTCCTTTATTGGATAAAAGTGCGGAAGCAGCAAGACTGGTGGCATTTTCCACCTTGAGTCTGAGAGAGGGGGCTTGTACACTGATCAGGACCCAAGAGGCTTCCATCAAGCCAAAATGTACTTGATTTTATCTGAAGATAACATCAAAGGTGTCAAGTACCTTCCTAGTGCTGAGAGTGCCAGGGTCAGTCGTAAAGCCCACATGTCACTCTAGTGGTTGTGCTCATGTAGGGTGAGATGGAAATCCATGTGAGGCCAGGGTCCCTCAGGGGCAGTCATGGTGGTTATGATCAAGATGGCTGTGGTCAGGTCAAGCTAGATCCCTACCCCGAGACACTAACCCCTTTTCTGTGGGCTGATTGGCTCACCTGGACACCAGCTGCCTGACTTGCAATTCTCATGAATCATTTCTCATGAGTAAGTCATGCATTACCTTCCTTCTCACTCACTCTCACAGCCACCATTGTCCCCAGACTCCAGCACCTGCAGGTTCCACTGGAACACCAGGTGAAGTTCCTGCACGTCTGGCTCAGGCTGAGCAGAGGTGCTTCCTCATCCAGCAGCTGGGGCTCAGTATAAACCAGGGTCAGAAGAGCCTGTGTGAGGTGTGCTCAAGGATCAGCAGCTCAGGGACTGAGTCGTGGAATTTTCTGTTAATCTTACTTGTTGGTGTGGTACAAGAAAGAATCCTAAGGGAGTCCCAGGGCGGTATCCATTTTCCTCCTGCCCCACTGTGTGGCACCAACATGGATTTCCCTTGATAATCAAGATCAATCAGCACATCCCACTCAGTGATCTCTTGTTATCTCTACATCATGTAGCAGGAGGAGCCAGATATCATCCATTCAGAACGTATTTTGGAGAGATTCCAAGATGGCGGCTAGAGGTAGGAAGCAGAAAGCGAGCCTCCTATAGTGAAATCTTGGAGAGACGCTGGAGACACACTTTGCAGGCATAATCACCGAGAAAAGGCATAACTTTGACTCCTCCACATCTCCAGCCGGCGCAGAGCATCTCCACTTCACGTTAAACGGAGAACCGAGGAGGCCGCCGGGCCGCCAGTGGCCGGCGCCCATACGGCTTGGGAAGACGCGGACCAGGTGAGCTTCGCGGTACCGCGGTTCCCCCACAGACAAGCCTGGGCCAGAGCAGCATAGCCCTCTGGACAGACTGACCTCCACCCAGGAAAAAAAGAGAAACTGAGTACTAAGCAATAAGAACAGTTAAGACACGCTGGAAAGAGGGTGGGGCGCCCTGAACACTGAAGATTGGGGGAAGGGAATCCTTCCCGGGACTGTAAAGAAACGAGCCGGGCGGGCCGGAGAGGCTCTGGCGGGAGCGGGGCGCGCCAGCAACCAGGAGCGGGGACGCTTGTGAGAGGAGGGAAGACCCACTTCCCACGTGAACTGTAAATAAACACGCAGGCCTGACAACGCGGGGCAGTGTCGCCTTTCCCAGTGCTTGGAAAGGGAAAAGCCTGTAGCAGAGGCCCCCCCCCCCACAGGAGAACTCTGAGCAAACAAAGCCTGTGGGACCAGGTGAGTGCTAAGCTCACCCCAGAGATCTGCATAAATAACGCCGCCAGCTACAGGCTGAGAGCAGCAGGCAGGCAAGCCACAGTTGCAGATACCACTCTCAGAACTGCCTCCAGACGCTTTTTTTTTCTTTTTCTCCCTACCTTTGATGAGAGAACAACCGAATTACACCTGCAAGCCGAAAAACTTACTGAAACTATTGCATTTGAACTGGGGACACTTGGTGGGGCTTTTTTTTTATTTTTTCTTCTGTGTGTGTGTGAGTGTAGTTTTGTTCTACTTTATGCATCCCCTTTGATGAGACAACTACAGAACAACATCTGAGGCACCAACTCCAGGACTGGAGATTAAGACGGACATCCAAATTATTAAGACTGAAATTGCATTGCATATAAACTTGGAAGTTTTTTGGTTTTTTTTTTTAATTTCCTATTTTCCATTTTATTTTAATTCATTTTTATAAATAGATATTACTTTCATATACTTATTTTTATTTTTTTTATCTTTGATTTTCAATCCTCTCTCTGTCTCTCTATTGTCTGTTCAGCTTACTGTCGATTAGTACACTAACACTCCCTGTTTATACCTTTGAAACTCTCTTGTCTGATACCTTGTTCTGCTTTCTCCCTCTTGTCTGTATATTTGTTTTCCCCTTTTCTTTAACTTCTTGCTTTCCATCTCAGCTCACTCTTCCATTCTCAATATTACCATTGTTATTATTACAAGCTAGAAAATACTTAATTACACACAGTACAGGGACAGTAACAACACCAAGGACAATGACAGGAAGACAGAAAAAACAAGGAAACCAGTTTCCCCACAGCAAAAAATTAGTACAGGAACCAGAGGGGAATGAAGAGAACAGAAACTCAGAGCCAGACTCCAACAAAATGAAGATAAACTATGCCAAAGGACCCAATGAAGCCTACAAGAATAATTTAAAAGAAGACATACTACAAGTACTCAATGAGAATTTTATAGAGATGATACTGGATAGGGTCAACCAAAATGTACAGGAGACACTCAAGAAATTCCAAGACAATAAAAATAGAGAATTTGAAAAAGCAAAAGAAGAAATAAAGGAAACCATAGAAGCACTGTATAAACACCAAAGTGAAAGAGAGAACACAATGAATAAATGGATAAATGAACTCAGGACAAAAATAGACAACAATAAAGAAGAAAACAGCCAGGATATGGAAAACCTCAGAAAAAAGAACGAAACAGAACTGCAAAACAAAACGGAAGGCCAATCCAGCAGAATAGAACAAACAGAAGACAGAATCTCAGAACTTGAAGATGAAATGGTAATTAAAGGAAAAACTGAAGAACTATTAATTAAACAACTCAAGACCTGTGAAAAGAAAATGCAAGAACTCACTGACTCCATCAAAAGACCAAACTTGAGAATCATGGGCATCGAAGAAGGAGAAGAGGTGCAAGCGAAGGGAATGCGTAATATATTCAACAAAATAATAACGGAAAATTTCCCAAATCTAGAGAAAGATATTCCCATACAATGCAAGAGGCCTCCAGGACACCAAACAGACCAGATCAAAATAGAACTACTCCACGACATATCATCATTAAAACAACAAGTTCAGAAACTAAGGAAAGAATATTGAAGGCTGTAAGAGAGAAAAAACAAGTAACATACAAAGGTAAACCCATCAAAATCACAGCAGACTTCTCAACAGAAACATTAAAAGCAAGAAGAGCGTGGGGTGAGATCTTCCGGGCACTGAATGAAAATAACTTCAACCCCAGGATACTC